GCACTGTACAATGACAGTCCTAGGGAGGCGCCATTTCAATATTACTATACCGCGAGTGAATCAAAATCAATTTCAACGCAGAGTTCTAAGAAATAATCTAAAGGACGAATCAAAAAGAGAAGAAATCAGGAAAGATGATGCGATAACGTACCAAAATAGAACGGCTTCTTATTCCACATATCGTAAAGACGTCCACAAACCACCATTAGACCAAACATCAAACTAGCTCCCTGGAAACTTCATCGAATGCCACACTTCTTGAGAATGTCTTTGAAGTCGTAAGGAAAACAAAAAGAGGAATTAGAAAAAGTTGAAAAAATTAAGTAAGGACGTGGAGATCAGTTTCTCTGAAGATATCTTGAAGTGTCTGTCAAGCTTTTGCAAAGAAAATTAATCGTTCATCATAATTCGTATTGCACACGAAGCTGGACTTCAGGCATTATTTTTTGGTTTTAGAAACAAAAATATGACACAAGGATTTGCAAAATCTACTTCACATTTATTTTGATACAAGTGATACTTGGCATTTAGTTCATGGCAAGGCGAGCCTCTCGAGTAAGAGCTCAACTAACTTTTAAGCAGAATCTAATTTTCGGAAAAAGCGATTTTTTAGGAAACCTGTGAACCATGAACAGTTACACTTTATGCAACTTTTTTGTAAGAATATGACGAACAAACCTGGGCAGGTCGGGACCAAGTGTAAGGATCCATCAAATTGACTTCTCGTAGGCCTGCACGGAGGTACTTCTCACGCCTCTCATATTCTTCTGGGCTAACCCAAGTAGACGAGGCCATCTGTGATAAACTATAGTGCGCAACCAGCAGAAAATCCACAAGCATGATAGACACATAAGGAAGACACTAAGAATCTAATTTATTCGCCACAACAGTCTCATTATAGTCTTACCGTAGCCGTATTTCGTCATCTCCAAAAAACTGGACAGGAAAAAATTAATATAGACATTTTTTTTGCGGATACACTGCAATCCCGGGTGAAGCGACAACTTTCTTGATATAACACGTAGAAAGCCGCCTTTCAAATATTATCAGAGGTTTGTCCTTACGTTTCTTCCAACGACTACAAAAAAAGGTTCTGCCAAGCCGATTTTCACAAGGAACACACTGACGCCAGCGTGGGATACATATGTACCGCACTTCCTCTCGAAACAGACTCGTTCTACCTAGGTTATGCCTCAATTTCCACCTCGTATGGTGGTCCATATGCTCTAATGCCTGCAGGAAATAGTACTCTTTGTTGATAATGAAATTATTGGTGAAGAAATCAGCACTGATGGAAAATTCGAAGACAGGTAGGTATACGCGCGCTGAACGGCGGTCGTCAATGTGTTGAATCGGCCTCCGATCCTATTCTTTAAAATTCACACTCGCCCTCTATTTTCGCCTGTGTGTGATGGAAGACGGATGGATTCAAGCTCGAAGGATTTCACAAAGCACATAACTCTCAATATTGCCCTTGCTCCGCTGTGACATTTGTATAGGTACCGTATACGGGGAGAATAGAAATTTATTGATTTACATGATCATGATGAAGAAATTCATGGCACGTTAACCTTTTCGAATGAACACTGAACAATTCACAGGATAACTTTATCACGAATCCAGTCTACACTATATATAAAGTAGTTGCGACCATCCTAGCGATCGAACTTGGCGGGGAAGCGGACCTTCCTCAACGAGCTCGTCCCATTTCTCAACCCAGAAATTGGGGCAGAAGTCCTGAAAATGAATTTACTAATTATAATTGCTATGAACCATAAGAAATACATGAAATCAATACATCAAATCGCTGCTCCAATGGCGTCAAAGCAGAGAAAATCAAAACATGTGTGAATGGACAATTACAGTAATTCAACAGACATGGCAAAAAATTGTAGGATTCCCCTGCAGTTTTCAAGCTTCAGTCGCTTCTCTTTCGGAGATATGAACTTGAAAATCCCCACCCTCTTTGTGAAGAGCCTATGGACAGAACACTTATATAGCTTCATTATCTCTTACACACTGTTACCATCAACCCTACAAACTTGATAAGTTCGTTGCGAGTCACTCCAGAGATCCATCCAGCACCCTTCTTGAATGCTATCAGTCACTGAGGTGCTGCCATCTACCTAATCGCCCTACTTCTTCATGTGATTCTTGATGCAGCACTTGAGTCGAATCACACTTTGCGAACTTCCGCTTTTTGTGCAGTAGATACGATCGATCACACATCCGATCGCATGTTACGTATCTACGCTACTCTCTAACGGTGAAAGTATGACTCGACCCTTTCCATAAGCATGCGCTCATTCGTCACCCCCATAGTTTTTGAGATTGCGCTACCGAAGTCGTCACTTTTCGGTGGGTGCTCTGACGCCGCCTTTTGAAGTGCCATCAACCCTCTGTGTCCTGCCAATCGGGGACGACTCCCCAAGTGCCGACTGGCAGCACAGAAATACCAAAAAATAATAGATCTTATAGTGTAACCTTTCCGCTGGACGACGGAACCCATGCCCGGTGGAGGAAGGCTGTAGTCGGTCCCACAGCTTGCGCGGGAATTCCTACTGAAAGTATACGAGGGTGCATTGTGGCATAACACCACGTACTCCCGCACCTGCGCTAAAAAGCAACAAGTCTAACACGAAGTTCGCCTGCAATCAACTCCTCCCTAGGCCATGCTGAGGCACGACTGCGCCCCTTAGCAGTTGAAATTCATCTGACTTATGGTTAGACTGAAGAACGGATGAACACGTTGAATAAATGTGTAAACTGTGAACAAATGTGTAAACTGTTAGTGAAACGTGGTATGATAACCAGTCGAAAAGGAAAAAAGGCTAGCTGGTCCATCTTGTTCCTAGGTGCCTATCTACAACTGACAGCGCGACGTCGTGCTGCCCCAACTCGGCTATGGAAAATTACGGGAACAAGGTGGAATCCCTAATATCTCCCTGAGCTGACCTTCTCCTCCCCCACCCCCCTATATAATCTACTCATCCCGATACTGAACTTCATGACGTCGCACGCTCGAGTAGGTAAAGAAAACAACAAAACTAATAGGACATCGAAGTTAATAGTTTGCTCAATACTAAACCAACTGACCTTGTATACGTTTTGGAAGAATTTGCAAGGCTTGTAGTCCTTACCCATCAACTCAGTACAGCGGTGAAAGTCAACGTAATACGCAAAGCACTGACGCTGCTTGCGGACCTAAAACACAACAGTAGCCAAAAATTCACACGAATGAAACAGCAGAATGATAGTGTTTTTGAGCACTGCGAGAGGCGAACTAAGTAGGCGTAGGACTTCGTTTGGCCGCGGCGAATGAGTAGGCAGTGCTCCCGGTGTTGCGGGCGGCTGCCTCAATGCCGTGTAAAAGGGAGGGAGAGGCGAATCGTATAGGAGCACTACCGGCTCCTCCGCGCTTATCGCGGCCACGCT